GGAGCCTTTAGTTATTCCACTTGAGCTTTAGTATTATAGTGTGTTATCAGCAAGGCCGGCTATTTATTTGGATTTTTTTAAAATTCTTCCAAACTTTCCTTAATATTTTCTATTTATTTCTGATGCCAATATTTTGGGCCCATTGCCCTCTCACTCATCTGGTTTTAATTCTGCTTTGAAAACACAATCCTTTGAAAGTCTGCAAGTTCCACTTTAAACTGAGGACTACCTGAAAATGCTACTGTACAATGTGCAATTCCCCATTCAAGCATGCAAATTACACACCAAAAGATTTGGAGCAGCCCAGCTCTTAGAAGTTCAAAAGAGTAAATAATTGCTGCTGTTCACATCATGATGCTTTTGTGCTTTGTAAATTCTAATTTGCTATAATTGTCCAGCGTTTTGTTACCAATTGCAAGCTTTACGAAACACTTTGATGCTTCAGTTTAGAGCTTTTCTCGCCCCCCCAAAAAAAATCCTCTCCTAATGCCATATGGAGGTGGATGCAATTTAGGTTCCATAATACTTATGTTTCTGTTGATGTATGAATTACATGAGCCTTTTTCTGCGTATTGGTGAATATTTATAACCTAAATTGTTTACTGTAATTTGAGGTTGCTTGGAGGTTGTGAGATAGCCACAGGTGGTTTGGAGAGACTTAAATTTTATATGAGAATTGTTCATTCATTGCTTGCACCTGCGTAAGCCTCTTATTTTATTTGGATCAACAATGTTCAGATGGATATTTGGTTTGTGTATGTAGTGCAAATCTACTTTTTTGTAAAATTACTTAATTGACAATAATAATCCTTGAATTGAATTATGGTGCTTTTCACTTCTGGAGGACGTCACAAGGTGCATCACAGGATTTGTTGCAAACGTGGCAGGCAATTTGTGCACAACCACTGAAAAATGGATTATTGAATGGAAGTAAAATACTTTCTTCTCTTTACGTGGATCAAATTATCTTCACTGTTTACAACTGAATAACTGCAATGGAGAGAAACACATTACACATGTCTTTAAGCCATTGTTTGTATCTGTTAGTAAAGATATCTTCAAGCATTTTAAACTAAGGAATCAATTAGACTGAAAATGTACATTGTGTAGCTTTCAAGGTAACATTCTCAGCATTAATTGTCATATCTATCAGAGTCAGTTGTACGGCAACCCACAAAATCTGGAGCCTTTTCCCATCTCACCCAATACTCTTAGTACAAAAGCCACCTCCAGGCCCTCAAATCCTACTCCTAGAATCACAGTATCAAAGAATATTACAAATGGCCTCCTGTAGCACCAAAGTGTGTGAATCACAATCTATTTTTGATAGTCAAGTGATAGGCAACTTGTCGATTGCTGTGTTTAAACCTGTTCACATTGCGTTGTCCATGTTATAAGATAAGGCAGGACATTATTTTAATTAAACAAAATTACTGCTCTCTAATTTGACAAGTTTAACTTTGTGGAAATAGCAACAAAATTACATTTGTATAGCGCCTTTCATATCGGGAGGACGTCCTAAGGCGCTGGACAGTCAGTGTTTCGGACCAGAACTGGAGGTCGGGATTGGGGAGGGTGGAGGACAGGGGGTCAAGGAGTGTGATTGAAAGCACAGTTGAAGAGGAGGGTCTTGAGATGGATCTTGAAGGAGTCAAGGGAGGAGGCAAGGCGGAGGGACTGTGGGATGGAGTTCCAGAGGGTAGGAGCAGAGTGGCAGAAGACCCGCCGCCAATGTGAAGGTGAACGTGATGCAGGCCGGTGCCCACAGAGCTGAAGGAGTGGGCAGGATGGTAATAATAATAATAATAATCCTTGCATTTGATATAGCGCTTTTCACGTCTTCTAGATGTCCCAAAGCGCTTCACAGAATATACTGTAAAGTGAATTGACTGTATATTTGTGGGCGAACGCGGCAGCCAATTGCGCATAGCAGTGTCCCACAAACAGTCGTGGATTGAAAATAATCAATTTATTATTTTTTTTTGGTAGAGGGTTAGGAGGTCGCATAGGTAGGGGGGAGCAAGACCATGAAGGGCTTTGAAGGTGAGGACCAGGATCTTGAAGTGTATCCTCTGTGTGATGCGAAGCCAGTGGAGTCGGGTGAGGATGGGGCTGATAGGGTCACGGAGCCCGGTGCGGGAGAGGACACGGGCTGCAGAGTTCTGGATGATCTGCAACCTATGGAGCGAAGAGTTGAGGAGGCCGACAAGCAGGGTGTTTGCATAGTCGAGTCTCGATGTTATGAATGTGTGTATGAGGGTTTCAGCGGCCTTTGGTGTGAGACAGTGTTGGAGCTGGGTGATGTTGCGGAGGTGGGGGAAGGCAGAGCGGGTCATGGCACTGATGTGGAGTGGAAAGGATAGTTGAGGGTCAAACAAGACGCCAAGGTTCCAGACTGGCTCAGTGAGGTGGAGTGTGCATCTATGGATAGTGATGCTGTCAGCGCCTGAGGTGTGGAGGCGCTGACAGGAGCCAATCAGGAGAGCCTCGATCTTGTTGACTTTCAGCTAAAGAAAGTTAGCTCTCATCCAGGACTTGATGTCTGACAGACATTCTGTCAGGACAGCAGTGGTCCTGGAGTCAAGGGTGGAGGCAGAGAGGTACAGATGGGTGTCATCTGCATATATGTGGATGTCTGTGGATGACGTCACCAAGAGGGATCATATAGATATTGAAGAGGAGAGGACCAAGGCAGAGCCTTGAGGAACGCCTCATGAGTGGGGGCTACAGGAGAAACTGTTTGTGGAGATGAAGTGGAAACGATATGAGAGGTACGATCTGAACCATTCAAGAATAGAACCTAAATACTGCTGGGTTTTTCCCTGCCAGAAACAATCCATGAGAAAATATGAGAGTTTATCCTGTCCAGTGGTTTCCTGTTTCTGTGGAAATCGTTGCAGAGGAATTTGTAAGAATAGCCAGTTCCTGACTGACTGCTGACACACCCCCACAAAGGGATGTGCCCAGTTCCTGTAGCTGGGATTTTCCACTCCCATCTGCAAGTTAGAAATTTTGTTTGACAAAAATACCTTTATTTCAATACGAATCTTTTCATTCTCCGAAGATCGTTCGTATCGGAGCAGTTCCATCCTAAAGCTGCTTCGCTTTATTCATCCAGGTGAGAGAGTTTGTTCTTAGATTTTAGATTCTCTTAAATTTTGCTGTAGATGAAGCTTAAAGAATCTAGATCTATATAGATACTCGATGGTGCCAGTTGTTTCAAAAAAAATGTACAATTGTAAATTTTTCCGATAAAGCATTGCCTATAAAGTAGCCTGTTGCCTGTATTGGTGGCATATACCGTACAATGTGCTCTACCACAGAGTCCTCAGATACCATACAATACAAAATTACATTTGTATAGCGCCTTTAACATCAGGAGGACGTCCCAAGGTCATGGTCACGTCTGGCAATTTACTATACAGCAAGCCTGAACCCCAGAACTGGGGGATGCAGATGGGGGAGGGGGCAGGTGGGAAAACAACTGGAGTTGTCATTCATTTATTGTATCGTCTTGCCATGTTTTGGAGACCAGCCCATTGCAGAGGCTTGGAGTAGGTCTGAATCCCTCCTTTTGTTGCTGGATGATATGTAGTCAAAACACTTCAAAACATTTTCAGCACTATATTTTGAATGTTCAATTTGATTTTTCTGTTTTCAATTTATGAATCCTAACTTATATCTATAAAAATTCTCTCAACTCTGTCATGCTGAACATTTTAAAACAACTATTTAATATACAGAACCATATAGCATCAGTAGTTTCAATCAGTTGTGTGAATGACTCTAAATGTTAAAGAAGTCAATAAACCAATAAAATGTGAGCATTGTTGGTCGAGCTGCTTTAAACACCACTATTTTTGTTCAGCAATGACGTATTTGCTACAAATACATGATTATGCCTGTCTGATTAGAACGAAGATCACACAAATGTCTCCAATTTCACGTCTTGTTAGCAATTGCAGTGACTGACCTTTTAGCATCAAATCAAAATGTAATCATGTCAAACTGGCTCAAGCACTCACTAGATTCTCAGAACCATATAAAACATTTTTATTTTCTGGCATATTATCAACAAGAACAATTTTCAGTTCCATACATAGAGTTCCAAAGATTGTTGTGTGTCTCTTTTAAACCCCATATGCCCCCATATGTTTGGTTTTATAATAGAATTGATACAATTAATGAACTTGTCCAACCCTCAAAAAAGTTAGTTTTAGTATTCCATCTGCACACTGGTGACAAGTAATTGCACACAGCTTGTGTCCGTGTGACACAGTGTCCTTGTGTGAAAATGAGCTGTGGAAATCTAAAAAGTTTGTTTATTGAAATTCATAATTATTTAAAACTTTGAATATTGCAGTGCATCTGTGTGCTAACTTGGCTCAGGGAGTAGTATTCTTTCTTCTGTGGCAGAAGGTTATGGATTCAAACCCCATGTTGGCCCTTGCTGGTATTCCAGTCCAATCCCGTTTATCAGAAATATTATCGTTTGGATGAGATGTTGTTTTAATTACCATTTATAAATTGTACTTTCAAAAAAGTTTAATGCTGTGCATCATTAAAACTCCTACGGAATCACTGGTCATGTATTGAAGGTCAACAGAGTTGCATTAAGCATTTTTATGAAAACGACATGTAGCACTACTGGTCACAGTTAAAACAGAAAGCAAGGTGGGAGAAAGGGCCATTGTAAGGAAGGTGATCAAATATGTGGTCAAACAGGTTGGTGTTTGGACAAAGATTTAATAATTTGGACAGTGGCTGAACAATGTTGTGGCAACTTAAAAGGGGCCAGAAAATAACCTTAAAAGAAAAGAAATGGGAAGAAAAAAAAGTAATATAAAAATGTTACTTACGAATGTAAAAATGAACTAGAAAAACTATAATTTGTATTTAGATAAATTATGCATTCGTATAATAAAAGGGAAATGAATACAGAAATAATTGTGCATCTGATAATTTATTCTGTCTGTTTATGTTGATGACACAATAGGCTGTAAAGAAAACTCGAATACAAGAAAATGTTTGGATATTACATCATCAGGTGCTGCCTGCCAAAGGTTGTCAGTCTGCTTGGTGCTTTTCTTCTGCTGCTATCTCAAGGCCATGCTCTGGACTGCACTCTCGTTTGCCAACTCTGTACAAGGACTCAGATTCAGTGCTTCAATTTAGGTTTAATATCAGTTCCTCGGAATTTCCCAAAGACCATAACATTGATTACCCTTAGCAGGAATAACATTTCCCGTTTAATTCCAACTGACTTTCGAGGCTTTAATAGACTGTCAGCACTTTTTCTCGATAACACCGGTCTCGTCTATGTACACCCTCAAGCTTTTTTTGATCTCAGCAACTTATACTACCTGCATTTGAATCATAATCAGATACAGCACTTTCACCCAGGGACCTTCAAAGGGCTCACAAAACTTCATTATTTATACCTGCAGCACAATCAAATTATTTCTATTCCAGGAGGATTATTTTCTGATCTGACTGCCATTCGATACCTCCACCTTGAACAAAATCACCTTGGCATACTCGGCAGTGAAGCATTCGCAAACATGCCAAATCTTCACACACTGCATCTTGCAAACAATAGAATTTCATGGATATCCAATTCCTCATTCGGTCGGCTCACAAGACTCCAGTTTCTTTATCTTCAGGGCAACCTCTTGACACGGATCCCATCGCATACTTTTGGTGGTCTTAAGCACGTTAAAAGACTTGCATTATCCAAGAATCCAATTGACCAAGTCCATCCTTTTGCATTCATTGGACTTGAAAATCTTGAATTTCTCTACCTTGACAATGCAAAAATAACAACTCTTGCACAAAATGGATTTGCTTCACTGACTAACCTAAAGCATTTAGCATTGAATAACAATCACATAATTCATATTAATTCTGGATCTTTTAAACTCTTGCGGCTCGGGTATTTGCAGCTTTCCCACAACAATATAACCTCTATTGATTCTGATGCATTTGTGGAGATGGCAGCTACTTTAAAAATCCTACACTTGGCTAACAATCATCTCTCAAGCCTTCGTGCTGAGGTCCTGAGGCCATTGGCTTCACTGGCGCATCTGCTGGTCAGTGGCAATCCTTGGGAATGCAACTGTCAGTTGCTTGATTTGCGTGGCTGGCTGTTGTCATCCTCACTTATTGTAAGCATTCGTTGCCAGAGTCCATTAGAACTGTGTGGCAAAGCCTTGCAAAATATCAATGTAAAAGAGATTGGCAGATGCAATACAACTTTAGCACCCTTGGCACTAGATGCTAGAGAGAGAGCTTCAACTACTAACATAGTGATGACCTCTGTGAAATTAGATACACAGAATGCTGCCTTCAAGGTGAAGGGAAGTCCTATAACTTTCCATGAATTTGGAAATGAAAACGAGAGGACTGAAAAGCTCACAAGTGGGCTACCAGTGCAGATTCCAATTGAATACACATCAGTTAATTTAAGTATCTTCACAGGGCCAAACAATGCACCCATCTCAATCAAACCTTTATACATCTGTGAGCAGCGTTTAGCAAAAGGAAACCGAGCCTTTGACATCCTTTTGGCCTTTTTTATCTTGGCATGTACAGCAATTGTATTCCTCATCTACAAAGTGCATCAGTTACAACAGAAACTTAGACTTGCTGAGGCTGAAGGAGACAATGATCTGGAGTATTACAGCATATACCCATATGCACGGTATCACGTGACAGACCCTGTGCGGGAGTTGCCCCCGGAACCTGGAGCACATCCCCATTTGGACCAGGCTCGGTTCCTCAAGATGAATGACTCAGATAATGGATCACAAGTTATTTTCTTTGAACATTCAGTTTTATGACTTTTTGATTTCGTCCAAAGACGTACTTTTAATGCACATTTACTGTTTAAATATAGCTTTTGATATGTCACCCATGTTTTACAGTATATGGCTTTTCCCCTTCAAACAAGTTTTTATAAACACCTTTTGCTCAGAGACGAGCAAAATAGCTACCAATGTGGGCATGTATTTCGAACTGCAGGGATAAAAGTCATTGAACTCTGGATAGAATTTGAAAAATTGTTTAAGTGATGTGTTATTTGCAAGAATACACAAAGCTCAAAGAGAAAGATGTGTGGAAAAATTGCCATGGGCTTTTTTTAGATGTACAATGTATAATTAACCTTCATAACTACAATGGTTTTCAGATGGTTATTTTTTGAGTGGTTTCAAAGTACATCATTAAATTCCCCAGTTGATGTTTTGTCGGTTCATACCTATATCCATTCCAACCAGTGCATGAGTGCCCATCCTAGATCATATCCTAGCCCCAAATCCTGGCACTTAATAGGATGGCACTGCTTTTAGAGTTATTTTGTAACTTAAATGGTATTAATATAAAAACCTTTTATGTACCTTTCTCATTGTTTTTGAAGTTGATGTAAAATGTATCAAAATATCCAGTCAAGAGAGGCAGTCCTCTCAACGTCTGAAATTTATAATGTAATCTAATCAGATGTCATTTTGAGGTGTACCACCAACAGAATTGTTCATTCCTTCGTGGAAAAACTTATCTTGCTGTGTGTATACAGCTGGGAGCAAAGTAATCTCACTTGAGCAGTAGGGCAATGTGGAGCAGGAGGCCTAATCTATATACCAGCTGTTTAGCATATGCACCTCACTCCAGAAAGGGATGATTGTGTTTTCATGGTTCACGCCGAAATCCTGGTGACGACTGCCAAACATACAGTATTAAAGCAGCTTGAAAGTGGGATTGCTTTAGGAAGCAGCCAAAAGCTGAACTGCAGTGAACCCAGAGAATGGTGATCTTTTTTGTCACAAGAATGGAGGAGCTGTTGGTATGCTAACTCCATCCTTGTAACAAATCCTTGTTAAGAATTCTGGGGTTAACTCCTGCTAAACTTTTACTGGCAATAGCACTTGCGAAACATACACTACTCCCACGGAGCGGAGGGAATCCGCTCCGCGGTCACTGCCCCTCCAACTTCCACCCACCCCCCACCCCTTCCCTCCCACACTCCGACTCCTACCCATCCTCCCCTACGCACTTTCGAACCCGTTTCCCCACCCTCTCACCAAACTCATCTGTCCCTGAAACCCACCACCTGCTCCCTGGACCCCATCCCCACTCCACTCCTTATCTCCCAGCTCCACCTCCTTGCTCCACTTCTCACAGACACCATTAACCTGTCCCTCATCTCTGGCTCTGTTCCCATTCCCCTCAAAACTGCCACCATCACTCCCACATTGNAAAAACCCTCCCTTGATGCGTCGCAGCTATCAAGCTACCGGCCCATCTCCAACCTCCCCTTCCTGTCCAAGGTTCTCGAAAGAGTCGTCGCCTCCCAGCTACGCTCTTTCTTCTCCACCCACTCACCTTTTGAATCCCTCCAGTCGGGTTTCCGTGCTGCCCATAGCACAGAAACCGCCCTGGTCATGGTCACTAATGACATCTTGACCATCTGCGACCAGGGCTCCCTCTGCCTCCTCGACCTATCGGCCGCACTCGATATGGTCGACCACTCTATCCTCCTCCACCGCTTGTCCTCCCACCTCAACCTTCAAGGCCCTGTCCTTGAGTGGTTTAGGTCCTACCACTCCCACAGTCTTCATTTTGTCTCTGCAAATGGCTTTTCCTCCAGCCCCCGCACTGTCTCGTGTGGTGTCCCTCAGGGCTCTGTCCTCGGTCCCCTCCTCTTCACCGTCTATATGCTCCCCCTTGGTGACATCATCTGCGGACATGGGGTTAACTTCCACATGTATGCAGATGACACCCAACTTTACCTTTCCTCTTCTACCATCAACTCCACGACCACCGATGTCCTTTCAGTCTGCCTCACGTCAGCGCCTCCACCCCTCAGGCGCTGACAGCATCAGCATCCAAGGCTGCACTCTCCACCTCTCAAAGACAGTCAGGAACCTCGGTGTTCTGTTCGACCCTGAGTTGTCCTTTCTTCCCCACATCCGCGCCACAACTAGCACCGCCTTCCACCACCTCCGGAACATCGCCAGACTACGGCACTACCTCACCCCTCACGCTGCTGAAACCCTGGTCCACACCTTTATCACCTCAAGGCTGGACTACGGGAACTCTCTTCTCGTCGGCCTTCCCGGCACCTCCCTCCACAAGCTGCAGGTCATTCAGAATTCTGCAGCTTGTGCCGTGTACTGTCCCGCACCAGGCTTCGCGACCACATCACTCCCACCCTCGCTCGCCTCCACTGGCTCCCCATCCCCCATAGGATCGAATTCAAGATCCTCATCCTCACCTACAAGGCCATTCATGGTCTTGCACCCTCCTACCTCTCTGACCTACTATCCCCCTACTTACCTGCCCGTACCCTCCGTTCCTCTGGCTTCAGTCTGCTCCACATCCCCCATCCTAACCTCCCTACCATCAGTGGCCGGGCTTTCAGCCCCTAGGCTCCGGAACTCCATCCCCCAGTGCCTTCGCCTTGCTTCCTCCCTTTCCTCCTCCAAGGCCGGTCTCAAGACCTTTCTCTTCAACTGTGCCTTCAGCTGCCCTCTCGACTCTCTACCCCCTCCTCGCTCCCTCCCCTCACCCTGACCATTTCCCCCCTGCTCGGGTCCCGACCCAACTGTCCAGCGCCTTGGGACGTCCTCCCGACGTGAAAGGCGCTCTATAAATGCAATCATGTTGTCTCTGTGGGACCAGCTGTGATATCTGTAAGTTCTGTAATGAATGTTAAATAAGCAGAGAGCAGATAGTTCAGAGAAGTTGTAGATTCTGGTTAAATATTGGTGGTGGGATAAATACAATCAAAGATGCTCAGTTTGGTTTGTCATTTTATTCACGAGTTTAAGCTAGATTTATTACATTTCTTATTTTGCACTGCCCAGGAAGCTCTATTAATATTTAATGTTCATTTCCTTTTCATTGTTACCTATTAGTTCAGGTTTTACATCCTGTAATAAATATATATAGTCCTTGCATTTAATATAGTCACATTTGGCCACTGAAAGCGTTTCACAGAATCCAACGTAAATTGCAGTCAATATAAGCAAATACAAGCATCAAATTAAAATGTTTAAGTCTAGCAAGGTTCATTATAAGTTTTATTGTTTGAATTCTGTTTCCCATGTCTTGCAGATATTTCCTGACAAGTAGTTTATAATGCTTTGTTTTTGTCCAGTTAACGAAGTTGGAACTGCAAATTGATCTTACATTTCATCGGGCTTTTGTTCCAACATTTGTCAAAGATGCTGTTGATTCTCGGTCATTACACTGTGTGACTACTGTGAAGAGCACCACATTTAAACTATTAAATGTTTAATAGTATATCTGGATGTCTTTCCCTTTAAAGAGAAAGTAGCATCCTTGAGCATTGAAAGTTTGTGGTTTGTTTTTAATTGATAATATCATAGAAATTACAGCACAGGAAGAGACCATTCAGTCCATTGTCCTTATGCTGGTACCAGCTCTTTCACTAACTAATCTCAATTCCTTGCTCTTTCCCAGAATGAGTTTGATTGTACATCTTAAATGTTTACCCAATTACCTTTTTAATTTATTCCCTTTTTATTCTCACAACATGAAAATGACAGGCAGTCTGTTTCCCTAATCTAAGAATCAGTTGGTTTGAATGGGAGATTTTTGTTTGCGTGGTTGTAAATATAGAAATAGTCACTTGTATTTTAATGAGCATCCAATCTTCTCACTATATTAATTTAAATGTCATCCAAATATTCATCCTTAATTATGGCATAATGCTCTTGCTTGTGTTATTAAAGAAAAAATTAGTTTAGCTTGTGGAAGGAAATCATAATGCACTACAGTTCCCATATTTTTCTACCACTCTTGGTACTGTGGATTTTGTACATAATAATAATCCTTGCGTTTGATATAGCATCTTATCATGTCATTGAGACGTCTCAAAGCACTTTGCAGGATATACTGTAAAGTGAATTGACTGTATTTTACAGGTAGTTTTAAAACAGCAAATATCTGTTTTAAGACTGTATATTTTATATAGTCTTAAAACAGCAGTCTGCATGAATAATCAACAGACTTATGATCGACCCATGATCGATTAAGCACACTGACTAAGTACACTGACTGGACATGCAGTCTGCTGTTTTAAGAGTTTATCTGTGCAGTTTCATTATTTCTTAAAAAATAACAAATTATCTTTAACTCATTATAATTTTTTGTGACATTTTTAACATTTCACAAAATGGTTAGAGATATCTGTCAATCTTGATTACTCATAATCATGCTGCTGGAGGGATGGACATTGTAATGAGTCCTGCCAGATCTCTTCACTTGAGAAAATACTGGCAAACAGTTGTATATTTATTACATGTTATTTGGATTCTTTTAAAAATTAGCCCAGTGACAAAATCAGACAAATAGAATAAAATCCATTGTCTTATAATTATTCATTGAGTGAAGATAAATGTTAAGTATATCAAAGCAGTTGGTCCATTGCTAATTGATTCAATTACACTACAGAGCAAACCTTAACGAAAGGTACTGACCATGTGATTAAAGCAACATAAGGTTTTAAAATATTCTGAGTGCAGAGGCTCAGCTGTCTCTTTTGTTTTCCTTCAGAGCAGGCTTCTTGCTGGCAAGTTTGTAAAGCTGGCCCAATTAAACCTGTTTCCTGCTCTCTTACAGTGTTATTCAAGATAAGTTCTGTGGGATCATAAACATTTGCGTGGAAGCATTACATGACGTCATGTCGGACGATCCAGACACAAGAACATATAAAGAGTAAGTAATGGTTTGTGTCTATGTTGTTGATAAAATCCCAACCTGCCTTAAAACATAGTGTGAATGCTGGTCAGCACTTCTGCATTCCTTGCACAAGTTGGCTTCCTGTCTTATGGCCAGCTTCCTGCGCTAACAAATGCCTGAATTCCGGGTCTTCAGCTTGTTGCCAGTGTTGTTTCCTGATCTCTTATAAAGGAAGTGACTTCGGTGGCAACCTGATAACTTGTGAAGCCAGCTATTGTTTATCGCCCAGGAAGGCAGTCAGTGCTTTGAAGTTTAACAAAGCAATTTGAAGTGTGCCAGACAGCTTTCTGTGTAGATAGATCGATGTCATGGTCAATAGCCCAGTCATGAGATAATTTAACCCATTATAACAAAGCACATTTTAATGGAGTTCTATTGTACTGAAGGCCATGTTTCTCTTTGACCGTGCTTATGATCACCTTTTCTCGGCCAAGCATTAAGCTCTGTCACTGTTAAGCATCCTAAAACACTCTTCCGCGTGGAACAAATGCATGTTATCGTTGTTGTACTGAATTTTCATTCGGGAAGAGACAGAAATTGCCATTTCAGGCTCCTATTACAGATTGAAGGTAATGAGGCATGGCAGGTGAACCAGAATCAGAAAAAATGGAGAGTGAAAATGTTTATCACAGCAATGCAAACCTCACTTCCGTGCAATTGTAAATATAAGAAAGTGGAGAAAAAAGCTAAAATTGATTGCACGGGTAAGGTGGAGGAAGGATGTGAAGAGATTTATAAATGAGGAGCTTAAAATTGATCTGTTGAGCTACAGGATAGCAGTGAAGCCATTCCAGGACAGTACCAGCACAGAAGCTTCACTGAACTCAGATCACAGAATTCTGGTTGAGTTAAAGTGTGGGAGGCTAGTGAGGAGAGCATTGCAGAATTTTATCTTGGAGATAGCAGAGCCATAGGTAATGGTTTTAGTCACATGTTTATCAGTGGACACTGTTCCATAGCTAGAAGAAGCCAGTTTTGATGAGGGATCAGATGCAGTAAATAAGCATCAATCACTGTGAGCACTTCTGCATAATTGTAAATGCAACAACTTGCATTTATTAGCGCCCTTCTCACGGGGTAGCGTACTGGACTGCTTGTCAGTGGTGGAATCTGACACCACCGAGCCAGGGGGAGAGGGAGTAGGAGGTGACCATAAACACAATCAAAAAGGAAGGTCCTTAGGCGGGGAGGGAGGGGGCAAGGCAGAGGAATTGAGGGAGAGAGTTCCAGAGTTTCAGGCCGTAGTGGCTGAAGGCATGGCCACCGATGGTGGAACGGAGGGGACAAGGGACAAACAGGAAGCCTGAGCCAGCCGAGCGGCGGCAGCAGCTGGTGGATAGATAGGGAGGTGCGAGGGCATGAAGGGATTTGAAAACGAGTGAGAGGATCTTGAAATCAATATATAACTATTGTTAAAGTAAATGTGCTACAGAAGTGCAGTGTTCAGGAGAATTAATTTGCACAATTGCTTTGCTTTCATTCTATTCACTTTCCTGATGCTAGATAAGAAAGTTAAAAGAAATAAGTGGGACTTTGTAATATTGCTTTTATCACTGATAGAAAATGTTCTGAGAACTTGAAACTGCATATTATATATTATTGTATTATATATTATATATATATTATATATTATTATATATTATAGAATAAGTAATTACAGTGAAGTGGTGAAATATATTATTGTAAATCAACACTTGTCAAATGCCCATTTATTTTTTAATGTAATTTTTTTCTTTGCTTGCCAACCTAGTGTCTTCCTTTTTAGAAGAAGTTTTTGCTGGTTGGTTCCTGTTCAAAACAAATGACCGAATTCTGGGCCATCAACCCGCTTCACTTCCTATTTGCTAAGCAAAGTAGAAAGTGATGGTGGCAACGACCTGTTGTCTTGAAAATCGCCTGTTCTTTTTGTGCAGAAACGTAGTCCATAGTGCAACTACATTAACTCAATTTATGCTATAAAGAAGCTTATCATGTTGGGGCCCTGCTGTTGTGACATTCAGCCACTGCTGTTTGAGATGAACATACTCAGCCATGAGATCCTGCTCATTTGTACAAAAGAGTTGTACATTTTGGACCAATAAATACTCCCCATAGTAATTGAAATGGTTCAATTGTTCTCATTTTATTCTTTGAACATAGTTGTATGGTGATGTCACATTATGAAGACCATAAGGTGAGTGAAGATGAAGAGCCACCAACTGAACAGGACAAGAGGAAGAAGCTGGTAAGTAGACATTTAAAGACATGTTGCATTGTAACTCTCCCATCTGTTGGTGTTGAAATGTAGTCTCCAATGCAAATACAAATATATATACTTCAAGAAAGTACAAGTCCCATTGTAATTTAGTATAATGGCAACTAGCTTTTAGACTTTATGAATTTGGGGGAAATAAGATCAAGATCTCAGATGCGTAGTTATTCAGAAGCTCGTTGCACGTAATGATTTGAGTATGAGCAGCCTACGCCACAGAATAGTTTTTTTTGCTATTGATTCCTCATTCACTCTTGTTTTTGGTGTCTAATGTATGTGGAAACCCTTCATCATATTGTATTTAAGAGTATATAACCATGCATGCCGCCTTCACACGGAAATCCCGCTGTTTGGAATGGAATGTGCACTCCCTCCCGGGAAAAAGCACTGCCTGTCGAGCTTTCCCACTGCTTGGCCAGCTAGGACCACACTATGTTTGGGCTTTGGCTTGCAGGGTTAACAGGAGATGAGTGAGACAAATCCTTATCCTTGTGGCTGGTTTGCACAGTAATTTTTTTAAATAAAAATAAATATTTAACACAGTTGTTGTCAGCTTTGGTCTGACTGCTGTTTCTTAGAGATTATTCCAATGCACTGCAACTTGAATATTCAAAGCGATCATGGTTTTTGGGATTACTTTAGTTTGATGGTCAATCATTAAAATAACTGACAGTTAAGGATGATACAAATGTCTTTTGTCGTATTCATTAATTAGAAAATATAAATTGTCAAGTGCAGGTAAAAGAACCCGTTATCAAAGGGGTATAAGACTTGTCTTACTAAATGATCATCATTTATATTAGATTAAGTGTTTGACACCTACATTTATTAAATATTATGCGTTTCATGTCATTTGAAAATTGTAGGTATGCCATCATTTTCTAGCATTGTGAAATTGTACTAATTAAGTTTAGTGGAATGATTATTGTACAGCACAAGATGTTTAATAGAACCACAGTTGGTTTCAGATGACCAAAGAAATGGCAGCGATCCCAAGGGAGTAGCTGGTAACAGTCAGCCGTGGAGTAACCGATCACGAAATTTGCTTGACGGCTTGAGCTCTGTTTTGTATTATTGTCCTCAAAATGCATCACTGCTTTCATCTTCTTCTCTCCAGTAAAAGACCTTTTACTTCTTTTGAACAAACAAAAGATCTGGATCTGCATTTAATTACTTCTAATCTCCATTTATTACCAAAATCAACCTTGGCATCTAAAAGCCTCTCTTAACCCAATAGATTTCTGAGATATGCCAATAGAATCATCTGCATATAAGAGCAGGCTTACTGCTGAATCATGTACCCTTAAGTGCAGGAAAATAATTTCCAGTCAGGAGCCCGGCCTTCGAACATTTAAAAATAAGCGCAGGCAGCCTTGCCCTGCCCTTGGTATTTAGAATTTCTTTCAATAAGCTCTCCTCCTTGTCATTGCCATGCTTCTGTGTAAAAGTAAACCAGAAAGAATAGTCCTCCTTTGAGCTGTCCTCCTGATGTGAAAGGCGCTATACAAATGTATATTGTATACTTATTTTCAGAGTAATTCTATTAGTTTTTAGATACAAGAGCATAAAAAAACTTTCTACAGTGTTTCACATTCTTTTCCATGGTAAGAGGTACTAGAAATCTAGCATAAGAGCTGAATAATACCACCAGAGGCTTTTATTCTGAAGCACCTCCCCTCCCCCCCACCCAACCCTTCCCCAATCTGCTTCTTTGGTGCAATTATTAATGTATACACCACTTGGCACGAATACAGTCTTGCTGAAATGTTCATACAAGCCGTTTTGGGGGTTTGTGGTCTTAAAAGCTTTCCAAAGAAAAAGGTTTGGATTATGTTTTTTGTGGCTTATTTTACTTTGATGGCCTATGACATTTAACATACAATATGTTTTCTTAACATTTGCTTCATGTGAGGTCACCTGCTTCACCTCATCGTCGATAGGCGAACTTTTAGCCACTCTGCCTCACTCTCTTAAACTCTATCCCAAGTCCCTGTGCTCTACCTCTCCCTCTCCACCTTCAAACCCACCTTAGGACTTATCACTTCAACTACGCTTCTGACCACTTCCCTTCCCCTCCCTAGCTCACTTCCCTCCACCTCCCCCGAAGTTTAGTCTCTTAATCAGTTGTGTGAAGCACTTTGAGATGTCCTCTCGATGTGAAAAGTACATAAATTATCATTAATGCTTTGAATTTTTAAAAGTATAGATTGTAAGAATTCCTTCCATTTATAAAGTTCTTAATTTTACAACATTTACAGTTTCTTTAATTCTTTGGGTTTATCCGATTGCCAACACTTAATCTTTTGCTACAAAGTGAAGGATTTAACAATCTGAAGTACTCTCACAGATGATATAAAGCAGGAGAGTTTATAATATATATATAAAGTTCAAGAACTTTTACCCAGTTTCGATTTTTTAAAAGATTTCTTGTATGACTTTCTTTGATCGTTGTCAAGTGATTTCTTCAAAGGATGGAACATAAGAGAACATTGACCTGCTGATGGTAAAACTGCAGTACTTGTCAGTACAGGCAAGAATGGTGTATTAGTGACAGGTTTTATCACCAGTAGCTGTCTCGAAAACTCAGATGATCACAATGAGCAATAACTAGTTTTGGCATCTCTTTTTCTTGTACACTTTGATATGATTTTTTGAATATCTGTGATGATCATATATATTTGATCATCAAAGGAACTGGAGAACTGAAATAATATAATAGTTGAAACAGTCTCTGTTAATGGCAATGCCTCTGTTGATTATAATAGGTGATATAACAGCAACATGCAGTTGGTGGAATCAACAACTTGTAATTATATAGGTTCCTTTCACACGGGGCAGCATCTCGGAGCACTTAACAGTGGTGGAGCCTGACACTGAGCGGGGAGAAGGAGGAGATGGATGTAACCACGGTCAAAGATTAAGGTCTTCAGTTGTGATCTAAAACAGGGAAGGGCGGGGGCAAGGTGGAGGGATTGGAGAAGAGAGTTCCAGAGCTTCGGGACGTAGTGGCTGAAAGCACGGCTGTCGATGGTGGAGGGGATGAGGGACAAGTAGGATGCCAGAACTGTATGATATCCCAAGATTTGATGTATATCCTTTCACGTCTGGGGGACATCTCAAAGCCACCATAGTAAATCTGAGGATTATTGCTTTTATCTTGTGGTGTTGCTTGACTCATCGCTCATCATAACTCATCATGTCAAAACAGTGTGAGAAGCAATAAACAAGACAAACAGGCTGCTGGGTTATATTCCCGTATCTGGGATGAGCTCAGATTCTCAGATATCGTACTGGAGCTGTACTGTATATTATTCTGGTCAGGCAGCACCTGGAGTCCTGCATACAGTTATGGTCAACACAACATAAGGGGGCTTGCCAAGCCCTAGACACAGACCAGAGTACAGTCACAAGGTTCTCCTGGTGTTAGAAGAATGAGCTATTCAGTCTTGAAAAGAGTCATCTCTGGAGGGACCTTATAGAGGTAAGATTTTAAATGGTTTTGAGAAATTAAACTAAGATCCATACTTTTGGATACACAGAGAGAGCAGAATACAATATTAGGATTGCAAAGGACAATTTCAAGACAGGCAAAGACAAATTAATGACAAAAAGGCTATTAGGAAGGGTAGTTAAGTGCAGGATGCTTCACTCGTTTTTAAAATAAAAGCTTAACGCTGTTATGGGAGGATGGTAGGGTGGATGTTCTGAAAAGATGAGATGAATGAGCTGAATGGTCTGTGTCCTGGTGTTCCTGGAGTAAGGCAGAGTATCTTTTGTCTGCCTGGCGGAGTGTTGGTCATGTGAGGAATGCCCATAGTGTGACAGTCACTTGCTTGCTGATGCCAATAGGTTACAGGAGTGACTGGTTGTGTGCCAGAGCGGCTATTGTGTGGGCTTATAATTCACAACCAGCCCTGGCAGCTCAGAACCTTGGTCAAGAAAGTGCTTATTAACTTTGCATTCAAGCTTCTGCAAACAAGAGATAATGTTTCAGGTGAAACCAAGACAAAATACTGGATACTGAATCAACTAGCTAAAGGAGAAAGATGTATTGATGTTTCAGCTGGGGACGCCCCGCATGAAGGGTGCTATATAAATACAAGTTGTTGTTGTGATAGAATCTACTACCCAAAATAGTTTTTTTACCAACAAGGTCGAGGTAATATCCATACATTCTAGATTAGTATTTTTTCTGAGATTAGATTTTTGAACTATACAGTGAACGGTGATAATTGCATCAAAGTACTTGGCCGCTGAGGTAGATGGTTCTACTAGAGTGAATAACTGAATTATCTGTATAATATACAATATGTCAATATACATATTATACATAGATTTTTACTTAAATACCTGGGGCCTCAACGTGTCGGAACTCATCATCACCCCAGCGCCTTGGGGTGGTAAAAGGCACTACACAAACATAATTTTGTATTGTATTGTAAGTATCTCCCAGTAGTTTGGTGATGGATTGCTCAATTACCTGAAATTTGAAGTTGTATGCTCCCTTTCCCATTGTTTCTATTGCTGAAAGCAAAGTAATATTTCAAGTAATAAAGTAACTGGTGGAGAGCAATTCTACCTGGTCTTGATATACTCTTTTTATGTAGCAGTTCAGAGTGTCCAGAATTTGACAATTTCTTAAATACAGTCTTGGGAAATCCTCCTGACGTGAAAGACACATACTTAAATGCAATTTGCAAGCTGTTTTTCTGTAAGTTCTTTTAAGAACCCCTACAAAATTAAAGCCAGTATACTTTACAGTATATTATGTAAAGGACTTTGAGACGTCCTGTCAACGTAAAAGCTACCATACCAAATGCAAGAATTATTATTAATAAACCAACTTCAAAGTTATGATTGAATTCAACAATTTGCCAAATTCTGGATGCTCTGACATGCTACATAAATCGAGTAAATGATGGAACTTCTCTCAATAGGGGTAGGATGCCCAGTTTATACTAATGTGCTAATAA